TGTGTGCAGTAGCTCATGCCTGTAATATCAGCACTTTGGGAGGCTGAAGTGGGAGTAATGCTTAAGACCAGGAGTTCGAGGCCAGCCTGGTCATCATAGTGAGACCCTGTCTCTACAAAAAAAAAAAAGTTGACTCTAAGGTTTTTGGCCTGAGCAACCAGAAGGATGAAATGGTCATTTCCTGAGGTGGAGACACTAGGAAAAGAGAAGGTTTGGGAGGAGAAATCAAGAATAAGGTTTGAGTCAGGCAAGGTGACTCATGACTGCAATTCCAGTGCTTAGGAGGCCAAGGCAGGAGGGTTGCTGGAATCCAGGAGTTCAAGACCGGCCTAAGCAACATAGCAAGACCTCACCTCTACGGAGGCTGAGGTGAGTGGATTGCCTGAGCCCGTGGGTTCGAGACCCGCCTGGGCAGGCAAGACCTCATCTCTACAATAAATCAAAAAATTAGGCGGGCGTGGTAGCGCGCGCCTGTAGTTCCAGCTACTTGGAAGGCTGAGGCAGAAGGATTGCCAGAGCCCAGCAGGTCGAGGCTGCGGTGGCCAGGAGCGGCCACTGCACTCCAGTCTGGGCGACAGAGTGAAACTCCAACTCAAAAAAAAAAAAAATTAGTCAGGTTTTGTGGTGTATACCTGTAGTCCCAGTTACTCAGGAGGCTGAGGTGGGAGGATTTCTAGAGTCCAGGAGTTTGAGGCTGTGGTAAACCATGATCATACCATTATACCCCAGCCTGGGAGACAGAGTAAGACCTTGACTCAAGAAAAAAAAAATGGTTGAGGTATGTGAATTCTGAGGTGCCATTTATACAAGAAAGAGGTGAAGTAAACAGGTATGTGGGAGTCATCGAGTCAGTACTCTAGAGGCTACATAGATGATAGTAAAAATAATAAAATTAGATGCTATCACTAAAGGAGTATGAGGTATAGACAGAAATAAAAAAATGCCCTGGATTGAGGAGAAGTTAACAAAAGAACATGAGGAGTAGTCAGTGAAGTAGGAGAGGAACTGAAAGCAAATGTTATCTTGGGAAGCTACAGACAGAAGAACACATAAAGCAAAGTAATGACGGCAATCTCAGTTTTTAATTTGGCTGGAGGGTATACAGCTATTTATATTATTATGCTTCATAACTTAGACGTGTTTTAATACTCTTATACTTATCAATCTCACAACAACAGAGAAAAAGGTTTTAAATGTTTTAAGGTGGAGGATGAGCTGTGCCAAAAGATGGGGATACATTAAAGAAGATAGAGCACTGACCACCGTTTTGGGTAGTATGTGATGCGTGATGGCTGGACAAGAGCTGTCTCAGTGGAACAGAGGCAACAAGTGCCCTGTGGGTGGGGATTTAGGAGAAGAACAGAAACTTCCAGTTAAAGATTGCAGTGAATCCAGGCATTAACTGACTCTCTAGAAATTCCTTTAAAACCATACTGAAGGGCAACCAAAAAAAAAATTGCACAAATCCACAAGAGCATAAAAAATAGGAAAAGGACATAAAATGCAAAAGTCAAGAATTCCCATTAGGGAAAGCTGAGAGAAACTCAACTTATAACACGGGGCCCATTACGACATCCTGCTTTTTTTAGGCCTTAGGTGCTTCTGGATGTGGGAGTAAAGGTGCACCCAGAAAGAGAGGGAACAGTGAAGGGTCTGTTTAAGAAGCCATAAGATCCTTGGATCCCTCTCCTCCATTCTGGAAGGACTAGAAGAGTATTCTCTAGAAAGAGTAAAATAAGTTTACTGAGCGTTGGGAAAACTGCACTGAAAAGAGGGGGATTAAGTGCAAGTTCACATACTAAATGCTGAAGTCCCCAGTCTTCTCTCCCAGTTCCTAGAACCTAGGCAGCTAGCCATATACCTCTCAGATACTAGACTAGGAAAGTCTTCTCTGGGTAGTGAACAGCCAAGAGAAACCTAAGGTCAGGAATCAGACCAGCCTAGAAAGAAGTCCAGTAACAAAATTGGCCCTGCCCAGAAAATTATTTACCCACTCTTAAAACCTAGCAGACAGTCAAAGACCATCAGATATTTGAGGAAAGTATCTATTTTTAAAGACAGGAAAGAAAACATGTAGATAATAAAAAGTAACTTGAATCAAAGACATTATGCAGGAAGAAAACAGAAAGACAAAAGCCTATTATTAACTCCTCTGCAAGGTAAGTGAAGATACTAGGACTTAGCACTGAGACCACCTGCAGTTGGTGATGGTGAATTTAAAGTGACACCAGTCCCTTAGTCATGCTTTCTCTAGTCACATCGAGCTGCACAGGTAGAGACATGAAGTAGGCAGTGAGCTAGATTTAAGCAAGGTTTGGGTTTTGCCACTGAAGAGAAAAAGAAAAGACTAGAAATTTCCATTAATAGGTAAGTTCCACAAGTGACCCACAACCTTTCCAAAACATAATGTGTATTTTATTTTATTTTATTTTGTTTTGCTTTGTTTTATTTTGTTTTTTTGAGTTGGCCAGGCTGGAGTGCAGTGGCATATTCATGACCACAGCAGCCTCGACCTGCTGGGCTCTGGTGATCCTTCTGCCTCAGTCTTCCAAACAGCCGGAACTACAGGCGTGCAGTACCATGTCTGGATAATTTTTAAAATTTTTATTGTAGAGATGAGGTCTCGCCAAGTTACCAGGGCTGGTCTCAAACCCGTGGTTCAGGCAGTCCACTTACTTTGGCCTTGTTTTCTTACACATCATGAGCAAATAACCTTTCTATGTTAATTCAATTGGGGGAAAAAAGCAACATCATACCTTGTTGGCAGCAACCAAGACTTTATCAAGAAACCGCAACCATTCAAAGATAAAAACTGGTCTCTTTGCTTCGGTGATTTGAGCCAAAGCTTCTTCATTGAGCAATAAACTGTGGGCTAACTCCATTACTAAAGTTTTAAGTTCACACCTGAAATTAAAGATTAAAAAAAAAAAACAATCGTAAGGATTTTTTTAATGTTAATAGTCAAGCTTAATGAATGTAACTACGAAGAAATGAAAAGCGGCCAGGTGAGGTGGCTCAGGCCTGTGATCTCAACACTTTGGGATGCCGACTTGGGAGGATCACTTGGGGCCAGGAGTTGGAGACCAGCCTGCCCAACACAGCGAGACCCTGTTTCTTCAAAAAATAAAAAAAGGAAATGAAAAGTATGACTTTACTTCTGATTTCATTTGGGGAGAATAACTTTTTTGAGGCAAAACCCTGAGAACAGACTTTTAAAGGACAAAGGTCCAAGCCAAAAACAATCGCAACTGTGCTTGGGGAGGAAAAATGAATAGCACGGTGAAAGGAACATTAACATAAATATTGCAAAAAAATCGCATCCATTATTCCAGAAGAAACATGCCCAGCAACACATATGTCATTCACCCGTTCTATGAATGAGAAAGCTGAAGCACCAAGACCCAACACCAGGGCCGGGCCCGACACTCATCTTCCTGTTTTCCTCGTCCACTCTTCGCTGCACCTGGCCCAGGAGGACGTCTACGTCCCGGCACGAAAATACCAAACTGCGTGTTTCCAAGATCTTCCCACGGGGATGGGTGGGGGCGCCCAGGTCCCCACGGCCGGAGCGTCAGTGACAAGCCCGGGTGGCCCGGGGATGCCGCGGACCGAGGCCCCGCGCACTCGGCGTGGGGTGCACCCGCCACCCCAGGGTCGCGCGGAGGCCGCCGCAGGCCCCCTCGGGGCTGCTCGAGCTGTCAACCGCACGAGGCGGAGCACGGCGCCAGAAAAGGGAAATCTCTCCCTAGGAACTCGAATCCCCTCCCCGGCCTGCAGAAAATGCAAGAGGGGACAAGGGGGTGTGTGCGCGTCCACGTGCATGTCTCGGCGGCAGACGCGGACCACCTCACCTCGGAGTCCTGCAGGGCCGATCAGCTGAGCTCGGGGGTGGGGGGCAGAGGCAGTCGCCAAGGGACCCGGATGCCCCGCCTCCCTTCCTCCCGGCCAGCAGGAAGCGAGGGGACAGCGCTTGCGCCGAAGGCCGGTCTTGCGCAAGCGCACTCACGACGTCCTCCTAGCCCCGCCTGCCGCCTGTTTCCCATAGTTGCTGGGATCGGAAACTCAGGTGGGAGCAGAAGCCCGGAAGTCCTGCACTGGTGGGTAGGCGCATGCGCAGCTCTCCCTGTCGGGAGCGGGTCCGGGGCGAGTACCCTTGCCAGGTAAGATCCCGGAGACTGCAGGCCGAAGCGCGAAAGGTTGTGTGCGTTGACTGTGACTTCCCTATCACACCATGAGCCACTTTTCCACCCGTTGGGTGGTCGCGTCTGTGGGACGCTTGCAGCCAGGAGGAACGCGGGAAGGGATGGACGGTTCACGAGGGCGAAGTGTTTGGGAGTGAGGCGTTTCCTGTCGCCTTTCTACGGTACGGCCAGCTTACCTGGGCCATGTCTCACTTGTGTATGTTATGGGACTCTTAGGCATGCTTGAAACCTCCTGTGGCCCCCCACTACCCCGCTAAAAACAAACGCCAAACCTCCTCCTGCAGTCTTCCCACGCTCAAAAAGACGTTGACTCCGTAACAGGCCATTCTTCCACGCATTCGGGCCAAAAGCTTGGCTTCGTCCTTTCACACACCACCTTCAATCCATCAGCAAGTCCTGTAAGCTCTACTTCAGATGTGCTCCAAATCCGATCACTTCCACTGCCGTCACCCTGGTCCAAGCCACCGCCTCTCCGCCAGGATATCGCCTTATGAAGTGTGTGTTTCTGTTTGATGGGAATGAATGGAGCTAAAGCATGTACCGATTGAAAGGGGGCTTTGAAAACAACCTGTGGCCGGGCGCGGTGGCTCAAGCCTGTAATCCCAGCACTTTGGGAGGCCTAGGTGAGAGGATGGTTCGAGACCAGCCTGGGCAACTTGGTGAGACCTCGTCTCTACAATAAATGATAATAATAATTTTTAAAAACTCAGCCAGCAGTGATGGCACCTGCCTCTCGTTGCAGCTACTTGGAAGGCCTAGGCGGAAGGATTGCCTGAGCCCAGCAGGTCAAGGCTGGTAGCTGTGAGTATGCCACTGCACTCCAGCCTGGGTAAGGAAGTGAGACTCTGACTCAAAAACAGCAAACCTGTAACACATTCAAATCTGCCTAGGACTTGAGAACTAATTAGATTCCTAAAAATACTCTAATCCTGTTTGCAGTACGAGGACTACCGAGACCTGGATTCTTTGTGGTTTTGAGAAGGCATTTAGCCATATTGAGCCTTAGTATCTCCAGTTGGAAAGTGGAATTATCTATCCCTCAGAGTTACTAATGATTATTAAATATGATAAAAATGTGTGATGTACTGGGTGAGTGCTAAACCATTATGTGTAAAAATATATTTATTACAAATGAAGACGCTGAGGTTTAGAAACAGTGGGCAAATTACCAGTATATAATTGTACATATTTTTAACTTATAATAAAAAAATAGATAAGCTGAACTGTAATGTTTAAGGATGCACGTGTGGATAATGAAACTATAAAGAAAAGGAACTGATTGCCATAAAAGACAGAATAATGGCTATTCTTAGAAATGAAGGAGGGTTGTGATTGGGAAGGGTCAAAGTAGGCTCCCTCGTGGCCAAGAGGGTTTTATCTCCTGATATGGGTTTGCATTATCTTTTGCTGTATAACAAATTATCCCAAAATTTAGGAGCTTAAGATAACTGTAGTCATTTATTATCTTAACAATTTTGGGGCATCAGGTATTTGTTAGCAGCTTAGCTTAGCTTGGACTTTCTTAAGAGGTTGTAGTGAAGATGCCAGCCCAGGCTGAGTCATCTGAAGGCTTGAGTGGGGTAAAAGGACCCATTTACAAGGTGGCTCACTCATGTGACTTGCAGGTTTGTACTGGCTATTGACAGGAGCACTCAGTTCCTTTGCTGTAGTTTCTTGAGTGTCCTCATCACATGAGCAGACTTCCTTCCAGTGAGGAACTAACTTCAGAGGTAGAGTGATCTAACTAGGAGCTGCAGTGTCTATTATGACAGAGGTACAAAATCCTATTGGTTACATGGGTCAATCCTGTCCATTATGGGAGGAGACAACACAAGGATATTGAAAACCAAGATGCCAGAATCATTGGGGCCATCTTGAGGGTACCACATAGTTACTAGAGTGTTTACCTCATAATTATTCATTAAGCTATACATTTGTTTTATGTGTTTTCTGTATTTATGATATATTTATTTTAAAGCATTTCAAAAAATGATATTGACGAAGAAAAAACATTCCATTATTATACTTTGCTAAAATCACTGGTCCTCCACTGCCTACAGGGTCAAGTTTATTGACGGATTTGAAACAGGGAAGTAACCTAATCTGACTTGTATATAAAAATAAGCTCTAGAAGAGTGTAGAGGTTGAATTGGAAGAGGAGAGACCGAAGACAATGAGACCAGTTAGGAAGCTACTGTAATAGTCCGGTGGGAAAAGAGTGCCTGAAAGAAAACAGTGGTCGCAACTGTAGGAAAAAAAAATACCTGTGAGGCAGATTATGGAGGAGGAACTGACAAAGGTTTATAAGAGGTCAGGAAGGGGAAGACAGTAATGAAATAAATATGGAAATACAGGGGATACAGGAGGCTTGGGGGGGGAAGATGGTATGTTGTTTAGATTGTTGAGCTTAAGACCTCCACAGATAAAGATGTCCAAAGTACATCTAGAAGATGTACTAGAGCTTTAGAGAAAGCTCATGGCTGGGGATATATAAAAGTTTATTTCCATTTTGGTGAACTAAAAAAAAAAAGTAATTCTTACGTTTTCCTATTTGATTGGTAGATACTGTTGCCATATGAAGTTGACCATGGCAGAAGAAGAAGACTATATGTCTGATTCTTTCATTAATGTCCAGTAAGTAAATGTGCACACCTAATGTAATGATATGTATAGGACGTGTAGACTATTAAGCAATGACATTGTATTTGAATGTGAAGTTGGAAAGTTAGTCTTCTTGCTTTAATGAAAGTGTCTCCTATGTCTCCATACAAAGATAACATTAAAAGGAGGAGCCCCTTCATTGCCTTTTCATTGCCCTCTTCCAAGGAAGTTTATTCCTTTTGCCTCATTTCTTCTCAGTGAGAGATGAAAAATCCTTTGTTCTTCATTATTGCCAACCTTATAGAAAAATTAATCTGAGTTTACTATTTCTAATTTCTTCAACTCTGGACTTTTTTTTTTTTTTTTTTTTTTTTGAGTTGGAGTCTCACTCTGTCACCCAAACTGGAGTGCAATGGCCGCTCCCGGCCACCGCAGCCTCAACCTGCTGGATTCCGGCAACCCTTCTGCCTCAGCCTTCCAAGTAGCTGGAACTACAGGCACACGCTACCACACCCGGCTAATTTTTTTTTTTTTTTGAGTTGGAGTCTCACTCTGTCACCCAGACTGGAGTGCAATGGCCGCTCCCGGCCACCGCAGCCTCAACCTGCTGGATTCCGGCGACCCTTCTGCCTCAGCCTTCCAAGTAGCTGGAACTACAGGCACACGCTACCACACCCGGCTAATTTTTTTTTTTTTTTGAGTTGGAGTCTCACTCTGTCACCCAGACTGTAGTGCAGTGGCCGCTCCTGGCCACCACAGCCTCGACCTGCTGGGCTCCAGTGATCCTGCCGCCTCAGCCTTCCGAGTAGCCGGAATTACAGGCATGCGCTACCATGCCCAGCTGATTTTTGATTTATTGTAGAGATGAGGTCTTGTCAAGTTGCCCAGGTGGGTCTCGAACCCGCGGACTCAGGCAATCCACTCACCTCGGCCTCCCAAAGTGCTGGGATTACAGGCTGAGCCTCCGAGCCTGGCCAACTCTGGACTTTACTTTGGTTTTCTAAAATCTGGCACCAGTCTTTGTCATTTTTACCAAAACTGACATTCTTGGAAGTTGCTGATTATGCTCTGATATCAATAATAACAGATATGATCATAGAGATGATGCTGAAATATGAACTGTTGTCAGATGAGTAAGTGGCAGAGTTGTGAGAAAAATAATTTTTCCCTTATTATTCAGAGAAGATATCAGACCAGGATTGCCAATGCTAAGGCAAATCCGAGAAGCCCGTCGAAAAGAAGAAAAGCAACAGGAAGCTAATTTGAAAAACAGGCAGAAGAGTTTAAAAGAAGAAGAACAAGAAAGACGTGACATTGGATTGAAGAATGCACTAGGCAGTGAAAACAAAGGGTTTGCTCTGCTCCAAAAGATGGGTTATAAAAGTGGTCAGGCTCTTGGAAAGAGTGGTAAGTCACACTCGGAAATAGACAGGTGTTCCTAACCATTCCTTTATAATCTATTAATGAGGATCAAAGCGGAGGCTATATACATTAAAACAACTTAAGTTGTTTAGTCTCTTGGGTGCTAACAAGCCTTATAGAAAACTTTGATCTTCCCATATCCGTTAAATACCCCATGAGAGCTTGTTATCAGCCTAGCTTAGCCTTGAAGACACTAATAACTGGGATGGATGTGGTGTCCCATGGAAGCAGCAAAGATGGGACAGGGTTGGGTTGAGTAGTACAATGGCTGAAGAAGTGAAGCAACACTGAGGATGCTGGCAGGACTCGACTCTGCTCACTTTGTACCTATGGCAGCTGAGTGACCATCCAGTTGGAGAGACTCAATTCTCACCTCTCTTTTTAGGAAGTGAAACTGCTTACTAAGATGAAGTGGAGCTACTAAATACTTTAGTCGCATCTGTAAACTATTTTTCTTCTCTTTATTTTAATTGCTTTGCTTTCTCTTACGGCTATCACCTTCTTGAATATAATATCAGGGTTGTTACTTCTTAAAACCCCACCATGAGGTGGCATAGGAGGATATAAGTCAGCCTTTTTGATGACTAGGTATTTGAAGGTAAGGGAGGTGGTTATATGTAGAGTTATATGTAGATTATATGTTCAGATTTCAGTTTGGAATGTCATGGAAACAGGAGGGGATGAACAGAGAGCTTTGTGAAGTTGCATACTCTCCTAATGTGTAGTTTGAAGAATTCTGAAATAGTTGTGTTTTATTCTTTATTAGGAGATGGTATTGTTGAACCGATTCCTCTCAATGTCAAAACAGGTATGTAACTATTTTTTTTAGCATATTCACCAGTAGTAACAACTTACACTTAGATCTACCATATATATTTGCTCAATAAATATTTTTTTATGATGGTATTGTTAGTTCTTATCATAGGAAAGATAAATTTTATTTGTTAAATTTCTAAACCTTTTAAACTAGAAATAAGAGTAAATTATAATGAGTATAAAATAAAATTTAGCCTGGGCATGGTGGTTCACGTTTGTAGTCCCAGTACTCTGGGAAGCCAACACAGGATAATTGCTTGAGCCCAGGAGTTGGAGACCAGCATGGGCAACACTGCAAGATCTCATCCCTACAAAAAATTTAAAAAATTAGCCAGGAGTGGTGGTGTGCCCCTTTAGTACCTGCTACTCAGGAGGCTGAGGCAGAAGGATTGCCTGATCCCAGAAGGTCAAGTCTACAGTAAGGTAGTAATCATGCCACTGCACTCCTGCCTGGGCAACTGAGTGAGACCTTGACTCAAAAACAAAGAAAAAATTTAAATCATACAAATATGGGGAATAAAATTCATTGTAACCACTGAAAGTACAATGGGTTTTTGTCCATTGAAATGTCCTGGCCAGGCTCAGTGGCTTCGCCTATAATCCCAGCACTTTGGGAGACCGAGGTGAGTGGACTGCCTGAGTCCACGGGGTTTGAGACCAGCCTGGGCAACTTGGCGAGACCTTGTCTCTACAATAAATTAAAAATTAGCGGGCGTGGTAGTGTGTGCCAGTAGTTCTGGATACTTGGAAGGCTGTGGTGGAAGGATTGTGAGAGCCAAGCAGGTCGATGCAGGGGTGGCCGTGAGTGTGCCACTGTACTCCAGCCTGGGCAACAGAATGAGACTCCAACTCTTAAAAAAAAAAAAAGCCAGGCTCAGTGGCTCAGCCTGTAATCCCGCGCCTTTGGGAGGCTGAATTGAGTGGATTGCCTGAGCCCGCGGGTTTGAGACCCACTTGGGCAGCGAGATCTCATCTCTATAATAAATCAAAAAATCAGCCAGGCGTGGAGGCGCATGCCTGTAATTCCAGCTACTTGGAAGGCTGAGGCGGAAAGATCGCCGGAGCCCAGCAGGTCGAGGCTGCTCCAGTCT